ACGCGTCGAGTAAAGTTGTTATTGAAGAGCTGTTCTGAAACATTTCAACTTTTTGCACAACGTTTACTTTTCACCCACCCCGGAACCCCTCCCCTTGTTAAAGAATACATTCCGTATCACTATTAAGAGGCCATATCCGCGCTCTGGGTACTCTGCCGCCTGGGTCAGAGACGCAGAGCAACTAGACGGAAGGGCGCTGGCACCCCCCAACTACATTTTCACCCTCGCAGCTTCAAGAAAAAACTGCTCGTCAAATGAGGGACCTTTTTCGGTGGGATAAAGCGGTAAACAAAGTTTGCCTTGAAATCTCTTGAATTTATCGCCTGACATGCTCGCAGCCTGAGTAGGCGTGATTTGGGTAACCTCGGCCTTCACTTACAGGATTAAGGGGCTTATACAGCGCCTTCGGCCAACCGAATAAGGTGTTGTTGAAAATATCGCTTGCAAAGCCTAAGAGTTAATGTGTTGTTGAAAATATCGCTTGCAAAGCCTAAGAATTAAGTAACAGCCATAAAGGTATTCCCTTTGTAGCAGGTACACAGAGGTCTGTGCACATTAATGCCTACTATTCTGTCGTACCTGCCTACTGTCTATTTTAAAGGTATACTTCGTAAACACAGCAAAGGTTGAAGAAACGTCAAACCTGCCACAAAGGCAATTTTGCTGGTTTCATGTCGAGAACCATAATGAACTAAGAGCGAACACCCGTAATTATCAGTTTTTATCGCCACTAACTGTTTTGTTAGTGATGGAATGGACATAATAATGAATGGAGATTTCTTCCGTCATTTTTGATGTCATAAATTTTTCTCATTATGGAACTATTTGCTTTTTGGGCCTCAACATTTGAAGCATTGACACCGGTATTAAAAATAGTTGCCTTAATAATAGAATTTGAGTTTTATCGCCAATACGGCGGTTGGAAAGAGCATAAATACGTCCTGACGCTCAAAACGGCGTTAGAACCCAGGTACTATGAATGCACCTATTGATAGACATGGGTTCCAGAAAGCAAGGTTTACAACTCGAAGTTCTCCACGAAAAGTTCATCCAACGTCCTAATATTTAACCAAACGTGATCTTCACAAAGTCATGTGTTGCACCAACGAATCCCACTTCTGCTTCGCCCTGACACCTTGGCTGAGAATTCTTGAGATAAGGGCACTGTAATTCTAACATATTGAAAGCTACCATAGATTTTTTTGAAGATGACCAAGCAGCTCTAGCTGTCACCGCCGCTTTTTCCCTCACCAGTCCTATCTCCTTTTATACTAACCGTCTGCATGTTGTAAAGATAGAAGCCTCCAGAGCTGTTGAAAAAGGAACACGTTTTTGAATTTCGATACTCATTTTAGCGTTGACCTATTAATTCATCGGGTTTTCACCTTCCCATCGACTTCTGATTCAACTCTGCTTCTCGTGCAGTATATTCATATTTTTATATCATGTAATCTTGACCAAGCAGATTACTATTTCACTCCTTCCACTCCAGAATGTCATGAGACTCTTGCGAAGAAAGAAAATATGTTTATCAAGCTACGAAAAAAGTTCACAGTAGAAGGTCGTACATAAATTCTCTAATATTCATTGCATCCTTCATTTGTAACCGTAATTCGGAGAACGCGTGTTCGCGGGACCTGCCAGATTATGAGATGAGAATAATGAGATGTTGATCCAGTATGTAATAGTTGAAAGCCATCCATTGAGTAATTAATTATGCAGTTCCACTAGTAGTACCAGCCAGTCCTGGTGCACGCCCATCGCATGCGACAATTTTGACCCTCAAAAGTGATGATTTTGGGATACTTGAGTAAAAGTATAACATACTTTACATACCGATCCACAGTGCGATCTATTGACCGGTGTACATCTCGGAATTCCACACCGTTGATCACGAACGTCCACACGTTGTCACAGTATCGATAGGTGACCAATTTGTCAGCTTTAAACTGAACCTAAAAAACTGCTCCATTTGGTTCATGTGATCAAGCACGACTTTGATTATGTGCAGAGTACCTTACAATCAGACTGGGTTGAGATAGAATCAGGAGTCGAAGGTTAGAAAAATAAGGGATGATATATCGAGGTGGGGTAGGGATCTTACTAAGAGTTGGCTGTCACCGTCATCCTTAACTTCACTTAGGTCAATAGGGAATAGGTTAATTCTGGATTCGAGTACTGTTTTCAGGTCACTGACCATTTTACCAACAGCATGACCTCCTCCCTTATCTCCGCAGAGGCGGGGGGGAAGGGGGGAGGAGGGCGGGGGGAGGGGTGTAGAGCTTAGTGTAGTTGAAGTGTAAATGCGATGGTGCTTCTCTCTGCATCTCGACCGATCCAGTCAATGCTCATCAGGCACTTAATGGCTCTGTCCTTTCGCTTTCTAATTCCTTTTCCCGCTGGTAAAACAATTTCAACTTGATCACCACCGAGCATCTAGACTTTGGAAGTTGATAAAAGACGGTAATGAATAAATTGCCTTATGCTTCAATACGTGGATAAAAATTCCTTACTTGGAACATAACTCAACAAAAAAAATGAACAAATATGCGTACCTTATTTTTTACTCGGTATGCCAGCGCTTTATTTATGTTCTTATCAAATGTGGTGAGTACTTTCATTGCAAGTGGACGAGTTATCAAGCCTTCTTCGACAAATTCATCCAAGGTTCGACTGAGGGCCGAACCCAAAGTTGTCTCCCGATACATCATATATGCCATTGTTTTGTACAAACCTGTGGGAATGAAACTTCATCGACAAGACCTCAAGCACTTGCCCAAAGGACAGATAGCAGAAGAACGACTTTTTTGATAATCTAACAAATCACAAGAGTAAATAGTTTTATTAGTAGCATATACTGAATCCTTTAAGGATGAATCACAGTCGCTTGTTTGAACAGATGGTAGAATAAGGCCACCAAGTACACGGTAAAAAAAGGCCACTAGCAGTGAGTCTGTGAAAAAGTTATCACAAGTACTGTAATTAGCAGTGAGTCTGTGAAAAAGTTATCACAAGTACTGTAATCACAAAAGTAACAGAAAAATCACATCCAATCTATAACAACCATTGATACCTAGAATAAATAATGGTAAATTCGAAAAAGTTACATGAATCCAGATGTCTCTTCTTTTGTACAAAATAGAAGATTTGGAAATATAATATTTACAAAAAATCCTCGCGCTATTCCTACTGTATTTTCGAAGGAAGCAGTGCCCAATTTTGCAAAGAAGAACCCTTGGTTAAATACAATGTAAACTCAAGCTGGGATACAGTTATGTCGAAGCTCAAACTTCTCTCAAGTAGACGCCAGCTTCGCTGAACCATCGCAGGCAACAAATTTCACTCTGGCTACACGAATGCTATCACGGAAGTCTACCCGTTCCATGAGAAAGGTCCACACGTTATCACAATGTCGGTAAGCACGAAGTTTCTCTGCCTGAAACGACTTTTAAAAGAAAATATGCTGCATTATTAATTATCGGCTACAAGAAAGGCAAACCTAAAACTTAAAGAGAATGCTATTACAAGCATTACCCCAAGTTAGCTCAAGCCCCATCTGTACAATAGCTGGTTTCCAAACGAGTCGTGCATCAGAGACGTATGGGCAATGGATAAGAAAAAAAGAAGCTCAGAAAACTTTGGTACACGCTTTCAATTCAAGAAAATATCCAAATCTGAAGCACTTAGATGGGCATCGTTGTGGCAGCAAATACTCAGCACATACCATACACTTTTTGCTTAGTTGAGCAAGCGTTGAATAAGATATGCAGCCATGAAATCAGGTAAAAAATCAGTCACAAACAGTTACTACAAAAACTGTATGCATTGTGATGCTGCCTCAAAACCTAATCAGGTCATAGTAGTTAATGAAAACAATAAAATTAAAGGAAGCACATGAAAAATGTCCTAATATATAGGATGAACTGCATGCCTTCACGCTAAACCTAATTATGTCATTAATTTGCGTAATATCTACTTTTGCCATAAGCTTCGTTATCGAAACAAGAACACAAAGGCTGTAAACTTAAAAATAAAATTTACAGGAGGGTTACTAACTCGCCTTGAAGTACATCTTATTTTTAGCCTTTTGTGCAAGAGCTTTGTTGATAGCCTTGTCATAAATAGCAAGAACTTTGACAGCAAGCTGGGGTGGAATCATTTCTGAAAACAAATGCTTCTGAAACAGAAACCATCTTCATAAGTTCAGTTAAGGGATACGTTCGTGCACGAGGTCGTCCAGAGTTTTCTGTAGCGCCTCTCCAAGGGTTGTGTTCCTGTACATTTGGTAGTACGTCATCTGCACAACATACAATTCAGTTGGGAGCTTCACGATGCTGGTGAATATCGAAATATTCTCGGAGATACCTTCAGTAAGAAAGGCCACAGTTTTATAGTATTTTTATTTCATATACAATTTAACAAAAACTACAACAACAGCATAAATTATAACAATCGTAGTCATATCTCAACAACTGGTTGCAAACGATATTAACCTATACGTGATAAGTCAAATACTCGGATGATGCCACCGCTTCCAGCCGTCATTATTCGCAAAGGATTCGACCCCAAAATCACCATATCGAGAATTTCGTCTGCGCCATTGCCGAGCTCCTACGATAACTTTTAAAAAGAGACTTTCTATAAAACATAAAATCATGCAACCTACTTTGTAAAGTGCTCCATCCCTAGCATCGAATATCCTTAGAAAACAGTCCACTGAACCCACGCATAGGAAAGGTGTGTTGCCCTCCATTGACCACAAGGCACGAACCATGGCCTGTAAATTGCAATTAGAAGCATAGTTTACGATAAAAATAAAGAACTACTCTATAGAGCAAAATACAACCGAAAAAGGTTACGAATGGAGACTTGTAGTAAGAGACACAATGGGAACTAATCCAACTAACGAATTCCTCATCAGGAAAAACAAAAATTGAGAGCTGTTTCGTGTCTTGAGCTGTTTTGTCTTTGAGCTACACTCAATGATCACTAAAGACATAGCGGTTACCTGACTCGAAGGAGCTCTATAAATGCTTCTTGGCGTAGTGGACGTAGTCTCATAAATGCAGAGCGTGCCGTCGTTACGACCAACAGCTAACCATGAATTGAAAGGCGCAAACTGAATGCATTCCACGCAAGATTCTACATTGACTTGTTCCTGCAAAATTTTATATTAGCGACCAATAACACCAGAACCTAACAGAAGAAGAAGACAACAAGATTCCCTTAATAGTAATCTACCTCGTCAGAATTTTTTGATTCCGACAATGCAGGGAATTCAATCGCTGCAGTCAGCCGATCTAAGTGAGCAGTGTTGATAACATGGACGGTGCCTGAAGGGATCACTCAAGTCGTTACTCAAGTAGTTCAACAAAAATATCATTCATCAACTCTATATTTTAGATCTTGGGAAACTTCATGCTCAAAAAATTCGGAGTCTATAGCAACGAAAGCAGCTGATTTCATGAATTTGTAGGCGCGCCAAGGGTGAAGGATGAGGTAATGGTGGAGACAATTCGCAAGGTTGTCCACAAAGTTGAAGAACCTAAAAATGGATCCGCCTTCGCCGCGCTGACCTGCTTCATACATTGTGCGCGAGGGCATCTAAATGGGTGGGCAAACCGAACCGATATTAGATTTCCATTAAGACCCCATAAAATGAAAGCTCATCAACGATTTCATCCGGCAAGGCTAGTCATGGAAAAGATAAAAGAATAGTTGCGAAGTTCGCGTAGCTTAATAAGGGTACCGAAAAAATCTATGAACCAAAAAAATTCAAAGCATGACATAACTGGAACAGACAAACATGAAGAGCAGCTAACTTAGACAATAGGAAAAAGGAAGGATCATTAATGCAGCATTTCGACTCAGAGCACGGGCATTTACCTCAAATGTGGAAAGTTAGAAGGTAGACAATCAGAGAGTATTGCGTATGAGCAACTACAAAACGCAAAGAGCAATTCGCCCTCGTTTCAAAAGAGTTGTATCCTTGCCTCTCCAAGAGTTTGAAGGAGTTTTCTTTTTTGGAAAAGCGACTGATGTCACCGCTACAATGACCTTACCCGCTTCAGTTCCAACGGCACCAATGGGTTTACTGACATGGTGATGAATAGCAGTAACAGCACTATTGACTTTCAACACGGAAAATGTTCCATCCTTCAGATTCCATAACCCTGAACGCAAATCACTCAATTTTAGTAGTACAATGTCCACATAGAAAAGCAGATTATGTGATTGGGGTTCATATAATTGCGTTAAGGTCAAGGTTAAGGTAAAATAAGAGAAAACTCATAAATAAACAAATGACCATTGAAAATGTTACTTCGGAGGGTCAGAACACAAAAATATATTATAGATTTCAATTATATATTTGATTTCAGCAGAAAGATTTCAAGAACAATGAAATGAAGATTGTAACTGACTTACTGCACCATCAGCATAACCAGCCATCAAGCGTTTTCCATCAGGTAGGAGTTGTCCATTTGTGCATGGTGATCCATCCCCACTATACACCTGAAAATAAGCAAGCAGAGCTCACACTAGTTCACCATGGCGATACCCAACCCAGCGCTACCATTAAAGCAAGGTGCTATTCAAACAACGCGGGGGGAAGAAAGACAACTAGTCACGGGTGTGAGGTCTTCTATCCGAACGCGCTCTATGAAAAGGATGATTTGAATTTGAGTTCGAGGTTACGGTAATTGCCGCGAAACCACTGACTTTCGCACCAGGATTTCGGGTGGAAATACTGCCACTGGGTCGACCTAGCTGGACATACGCTTTCGGAAACTTTGAACTATGCAATTGACAATAATCGGGAATTCAACCTATTCACGAAAACACTCTCACATTCTACATATATCAAGAAGAAAATCTAAACACACTTTTGACTGAGCCACGCCTGAAGGTCCAATGAGCCACATCCAGACCATGCCATCTTTATCACCAGCGAAAAGAATGTCACTTGTGGTATGCCAACACATCCACTCCAGGTCATTGCAATCGTTGAGCTATAGAATACTCGTGAAGATGGCAGGCAAAAGATGGCAACAGCCATATGCAGCTTTTTACAACAAGTTGTAGCCACACACTACGAAACTCAGTTGCGGTTCATTATCTCACAAACCTTGGCACGGCTGGATAGATCAGACAAGTGAGTAATTATGATCTCTCCAGACATATCGGCAGTGGCAAGCAGTGTTTGTTGATTGTTGAAAGAAACATGTGTAACAGAATCATTGTGCGCAATCTCTATCACTGGGTCGCAGTCTGAAGAAACGCTCAAACCTAACAAATAGCTCCATGCTCTAGGAAACAACACAAAACAACAACGAAAACGAAAACGACATACAACAGTAGTTAAAAAGATCAGAAGGAAGAGCAAGTACACAACGAACCGGATACTTGTTGATCCCAGAGAAAAGCAACGTCGTCTTCTCCACCTGAAGCTAACCACCGTTCTGCTATGACAGCAATGGTGAAGCAGTCCTGAGCATGAGCTTGTAAAGCATATACTGAGTCATCAACAACGGTGGGTGCACCAACGTCAGAAAAACTGCAAAAATTAACAATTCGAAAGAGAATTCCATCGGCTTAGTCTAAAGAACGGACAAGTGATTTTTTGCATCAAACGAATGTTATACCGCAAGAACATATCTAAAAGAACACACTTGGAACGTACTTCGAGGTGCTTTGCTCGTCGTCATTATCACTACTATACTGCTCATCATTGGGTCCAAGTGAGTTACTGCAGTCAATCACCTAAATGTTGTACAATGCCACAATGATTTTGAGTATGAAATCATAAGTTCCCAAGCAGGATTACTTTTAAGCAGACTTCCAAACACAAGAATACGCCGACATAAGAATGGTTTGGTGTTCGTCACTTAAAGTGCGACATCGTTACTGAAGGTGCGTCTTACGTTTTAGGGGCGAGGTCTATGCATACGAACATTTGCCAATCAAACACCCTTCTTTCAAGAACCCCAGATCTAAGAAATCTACAAATGAGCTTCAAGCTACACAGAACGAGGCGAACGCAAAGCTTTTTAAACACTCGGGGATTTAAATGGCCAAATCGGACCTGCTCAATACGCTCCGATGCGAGGTCCTCTGTACCTTCCATTTCCAAATCTTCATCGCCTGTCATTACTGAAATACAAATTTTACAAAAAAAAACTAACATACACGATTCACGTTTTCATTCACGACAACATGCCTGACATCGCTTATATAGAGGGAAGTGGTGTGAAATAGCTTCCTAAACCTAACACGTACGCGACGACGCCTGAATTACAGACTTTCGCCGACATGTATCCTAGCCACAATTCTCATTCGCAATGGAAGAAAAATAATAGGGCTGTAATAAGGATAGAGGAAAACAGAGAAGTGTAAGCCAAATCTAGATTGGTGTAAGAAAGGGAGCGAGCGTGAGAAAGAATCAGGGCAAGGGAAAGTGTACGTGAGGAGAGGTGAAGACCAAAGATCAATATCCGGAGCTCGATCTGGTAAAGGTGAAGGAAGGACGAGATAAAGACGAAAAGTATGTAATATGGAATTCGAACAAAAGGACGCTCGATCAAGATCAAGTATAGTTGAAACTTAGTGTCCAAAGATATGGAAGTATAGCATAGGAGAATGAAATCTCATCCGGATCGTCATCTACTGGGAGCACCTAATAGACAGTATAGCGTCGTGCAAGCAGGTTCGTGCTGTTAGTAATTAAACCTGAGATTGAGGAATACGTTTCAGGGGAACGAGCCATTGTAAAGAAAGAAAGAGTTTGAGCGCCGTCGCTGTGACTTTATCGAGAAAAACACATTTAGTAAGACCGATGCATGATATGGTACACCCTAGCAAGATATATGAAGCTGAAAGCCGATATTGATGAAGCGATCTCTATAAAGTTACTGGGCTGTAATATATGATAGGCTATGACAATGGTAGAAAAAGCACTGATTTATATTATGCCGGCCCTTGCTGAAATGCTTTTCAACTATGTTGAATGAGCAGGAGGAAAGGCTGCCCCCATATCACTTATGGTAATTCGCAGTTGAAGAAACCCTCTCATTTGCCATGAACTTGAAAGTCACCTGATAGACAGTTACATAACGGAACAAATCACACCATTTTCAATCGAAGGTTCTGACTAACTGATGTCGCTATTATTACGAAGCTCTTTGCTGGATCAGATCATCTCTTCATCGCTAGTTTTTGTTTTACAATGGAGAGAGAGCTGTGAAGTTCAGGAATCAGAGTCCCACAACCGTCATTAGTTAGGACATTTAGGAACGCTTCCCATGCAAATTTATAGGAGGATTTCGTTGTCGACAACATGTATGAATAGTATAACAGGCACGTCAAACGTTCTCACGGGAGTGCTAGAAAAGCAGGGAGTTTGTAAATTGTCAAGAGACCTTTCTCTCAGGGACTCTCAAGCCATTACGTGGAGGTCGATCGCTACCTCTATTACCATGGCTCTGCAGAAGATTTGCTTATAACACCGAACATCGAGCAGGTGGGACGAATGCGGGCCGAAAACAGTTCTGGAAAGATGATATACCTTAATACTGAACCTAAGAAGACGATGTTCGTGAATACGTATCTAGGCCAGAAGTCAACGTGATGCTGTTAGCTCAGTTGCAAAAAGGAAAAAGAGGCAGGGAAGCATTTGAGAATAACGAGGGAGTAGTGATGAACACAAAGAGCATTCAGCATCGCGCTCACTTTTCGACGCTACTTTCCTTCCTGCTTTGGCATGCGCCTCGGAGACTCACTATACTAAAACTTGATGACATGCTGTCAGCGTCATTTTACGCGCTTTGAAAAGGACGATGCTCGGAGATCCACTATACACGCATGTGCAAAAGCAATCCGGATTTCAAGCTCCGTCCTTCGTGAACGAACGAAGATCAAGATGCCGTTGCTCGCGCCAAGAAATCGACGACGACGTATACAACTGTTGAATGAGCTAGGCTGTACAAAGGCTATCAGTAACACAACATGCCTTCCAAGCTTACTCCTACTTACGATGTTTAGGTTGGGTTCTACACTTCATTACGTATGCAGAGGAACACAGATCAACAAACAAGCTGGCACACCAACTAACATTTTTTAGACAAAAGGTAAGCATCACCAAAGGAGAGATCCTATTGATGAGTCGAACTCGCTCACACGGTCGGTCGAGAACTCGATTACAACTCGACATTCAACATCAATTCTNGGTTCTACACTTCATTACGTATGCAGAGGAACACAGATTAACAAACAAGCTGGTACACCAACTTAGATTTTTTAGACAAAGGATAAGCATCACAAAGGAGAGATCCTATTGATGAGTCGAACTCGCTCACACGGTCGGTCGAGAACTCGATTACAACTCGACATTCAACATCAATTCTTGAAACTTCATGGAAACCAGGTACTTTAACGTCTTACTGAGTTTTAGACAGCAAAAAATTGTGTGATTGCGTTCGCTCGAATTAAAAGTACAAATCAGAGTGAGGCGAATGGACACGTTGTCCGAAAGAGGTTACCCTCAGAAAAGAGTGTAGATTAACAGAACAGAAGAAATACTATTGTGAGGTGAAAATTGGTTCGGGCCAACAGTTTTTTCAACAGTGAGCGCAAAAGCGTGAGGAAAGAGTTGTGGCCAGCTCTGCAGGGCTGCAGTGATGCTCACTGAGCAGGAATAATGCGCAGGCACGCTATTCCTGCTCAGTGACTCAAACTCTTGAGAAAAAACAGATCAGAAATAAGAAATAGGTTCAACACAAGATAATCATCTCAATCACCCTGGTGCTCCTTCTCTCTTTAGACTTCAATGAAATCATATTTCCCAGGCTAAAGAACGTTCACTGCAGTCTCCGCGCAACTGATAACCCCTGCTTGTCTGCGTTTGGATGCCTTAAGTTGGAAAAGAGGCGAGCACCACCTTCTCCAACTACATTTTCACCCATTGTAATATGAACAGCTCCAGTTTTCATTGTTGTCCTTGAGAATTTTCAGTTGAATTTTTTCCCACTACGGATGAGGCTTGGTCTAAGTCAGGCAAACCCCTGGGAAGCACGAAAAAAATGAAAACGTGATGAGTGCACCTCAGGCCTGAGCTCTAGGCAGGCGGCCGCCCCATTCATTACCTCATAAAGATAACGATAGCCCTGACAATGAGACAACGCAGACCTTTGTGGTTACGGAAAAAAAATTAATATCTATTCATGTGGGCTTGTGTAACGCGTCAAAACACAATGTCGCTGGATCCATTTCACGGCCATAAACGTTCATACGTGCATACTATGCCGGAATTGTGACTTGAATAGCAATTGATATCAATGAACTTCTTGCTGCTTCCACCACCACTGCCTTCTTTGTAACACGAAGCCGGAATAACAGCTTCATACCATACATTTTTTTCCTTCGATATCATTCCGATATTACATTTCTCTTGATTATCAAACAATTCTGATCGCAAAATTTCACTTTTTATCATTTCATTCCTTATCTTGGTTTCAGTCCAGAAACCACTTTCTAGGTACATAAGTGATTCTGTCAAAATAAAGGAGCGCCGTGTGTGAAGACAGATCCCAAACAACACGCTGTCATATCGTGACACTCCTTAGCGCTTGTTTGTTACCACTCTTCTGCTATTCGTATTCACTGCTTCGACAACTGATAAGCATAGAATTAATGCAATACTGCAAGTTGAAACAAAACACTACCCTGGCATCTCATGCTTATTTTCTTTACCGGTCTCATAACTAGCAAAAAAAGTAAAACCAATATTGTGTAATTCATAATAATGGAACTGGGGAGTGAAGAGTAATGTTCCACAATTATTCCACGAGCACAACTGCAGAATTGAACCAGAAAGAGAAACCGAAGACAGAGCTCCGACTAAGTCACTATGACGAACTGGCGGAGCGATTGTTTGCTATTGATTGAGCCGCGCCGGCCACGTCAATCGTTTTTGTGACGATATTGAAAACCGTGTAATTACCAATTATGTCCCTTAGAACGTCAAATCTGCACGAGGGTAACTCGAGTGCAGCCATTTTTATGTTTTTCTCTGCATAGAAAACAGGTTTTTGTGTGGGGCCTCTCGATCAATGAGAGTCCACTGGTGCACTGAGCCGTCGTGGGAGCGAATCGAGAGCCTAGTGGTAATGCACACTTGAAGGAGTCCGATTCAAAAGAGGAGGGTAGTATAGATTATGTTCATACTGTACAGCCCGGTCGTACTGGTTTTGATTAATCAAATACAAAAAAAACACAAGGTAAACAGCTAATGATAAGTTGAAAGGAACGGAACCACGATCATAAGTATCACTGAGAAATGTCACTGACCATTACACAAGTAAAATAATGACCGAACTAGAGGAGCTATTCATGTAAAAGGGGTATGTGTCTTCTGCACAAATAGCACATTGCTCGCGACTGTTTGCAGATAACGGAGTCCAGAAAAAGTAAAATCAGATATATCAAAGAGTAGTTAGGCGACATAACTTATTCTCCATATCGTGCTAAAAGGCGCTACGGAAACGACAGAGCCACATTCCAACGAGCGAAGGGGATGGAATGGGCGAATACCTCCCCTCCCTTATTGACTCAGATATTGGTCACTGAGCGAATAATGTGTTGTCTGGTGAGGACCAAATATAGTTAGCAAGGCTAATTTTGGGGAGCGGAATCCAAAAAAGTCATTTCGAGAAGAAACCATTCAACAAAATTCGAGAAGGGGGACGTGAAAACTTAGCACACTCAAATGAAGCTATCGAAAATTGTGAAGCGAGAGTTATTGTGGGTCTCTTGACAACCTTAACGATACCCTTCGCGAAAGGAGAGGATGCCAGTTTGAGAAACATAAAAAACGGTACGGCGAGTGAAAAGGCTAGGCAAGAGACCGCAGTGAGACGTCGGTTGGACGATAATTTGAGACAATTGATAGAGCTGGAGTTCCGAAGATGTGAAGAGGTTTCCCATGGAGACTCCAAACAAACAAACAGGCGACACCTTCATTACAGTAACGACGGAATTCAAAATTTTCTATCGATAATTGCCCATAACGCAAAGAGTTTAGTAATGAAAAGTGTATGACGGACCACAACCAGAAAATGGACCGCTCTCTAAGTCATAGTCAAAGGGTAGGCAGCTGTTCAAAAATAGGCACTTCAAGTGAGGGTCATTTAATGAAAACAAACCAGTTTTCACTTGATCTCACTTCTGAAAGGAAATCCAGGTCAAGCGAAACCTTCGCACGCTAGCATACAAAGTAGCTAACCTACCGTTTTTTGACAAACTTCTACAAAAAGCAATTCAATAAGGGAGAGCGAATGAATAGCTCATCAGTCTAGAAGCCGTTAATACACATCTCTCTCTCTCCCTCTAGAAAACACATTTTCGTTATAAAGATCAAGTATTTTACACAACTTTGTAAAAACGACGTGACCGTATTTGAGTGCTCCTTTTCAGCTAGTTTCGCCTTCTTGCAGAATTGAAAAAGGTTTAATTGGCAGCAGTCTAAGTCAAAGGGACTCCGAATATAGCCACAAAACGGGATAGCAACTCGCAGTTCAACCACCAACGGTCCTATCACATGTTTTGCATGCGCTCAATTCTCACCGTCAATCGTTACGGACTGGGCGGGGCCATCACCTGTCGCAGGTAGCCCACACCGACAACAATAAATATCGATGCGCATGACCGAATTCAAATACACCGCAGAGGATGACTTTTTTCGGGGTATTTACGTGTAATGTTGACCAACTTCACCGATTATTTATCACTATGAATGATGATAAATTAATAATTGTAAAATTGAAACACAGCGACGTCAACTGTTAAGACCAATGCCTGAACCAGGAGTTAGAACTATACTTTGAACTATTCGGATTTCGACTGCTTCATTTGACATATAGAACTTTGTTTTATTATTCTAAGTCCTTCTTTTCTCGAGACAATACTAAACCTGCCTACATCCAACAAGAAAATCGCAATCGATAAATGCAGATAGTAGGAAAAAACTCACAGTAAAAGAATCATTCCATAATGTTAAAAAAAGCGCATTAAATAAGAAAAAATGATAAAAACGAGAATGAGGCAGGAAAGATCGATCGGGGAAGAAAAATGGGAGAGACTGCAGCATTATATTCGAGAGGGTGCTCGAGCTCCTGGAACGTCTTTAAGCATGAGCAAAGTCAGCTACCCCTCCTTTTCTGCACGCAAGCGTTCATTGTTCGAGAATGCCCCTACAATCCCTCTACACTTTTCACCATTCACAACAAATAAAGATTCGAGGAAAATGACTGGAAGAAAAATGTTGTCCTAGTTCAAAGAAACCCTTCTTTCTCCACTTCATGCAACAATTGACAACGAACAACGGTCAGAGATGGTTTACAAAGGGATGTGACTATTCAGAAAGGAGTCTCGGTGGAGCGACTTTGTTTTGGAGCATTAGCGATGAAGATCGAAACGGAAAATGCGACGGGCCGGCTCTCACGCTTCAGCTGGCGCGGACACAGGGGCCGCGTTCGCAAGCCGCGCCGCCTCAGCGACCGCCCGCGCGTCGCCTGCGACGCGTGTTTGCGTGCCTACGTGGCTCGCCGCAGCCGCAAGACCTAGTCGATAGTTGGCTAGGCGCCCTCCCTTGTCTGCTGCACCATCGTCCTGCCTTCAGGATTTTGCGTTTTCGCCACACCTTCATGGACGCCGTAGACGGCGGATGATTCCTATTCGTTCATCTCACTACTCCAGGACGCGCGGCGGAGTTGCCGCACGCTATTTCCGTAGTTACATTGCGGGAGTACGCCAAAATGGCCACCACGTCGAAGTTGTCGTTCCGTGCCAGGAATCTGGATGCCAACAAGGGAATGTGTGTATACTTCGCTGCAGAACTCCCCGATCTGTCCGAATGTGCTCCAATCGCCCGGGCAGTGGCTCAGATGCCGACCGGCATGGAGAAGGAGGAGGAGATGGTGAGTCGCAGCATGGCTGTCGCACGTGTTATTGATTTTCTGTCCACGCAACCTGTTGCTCCCTTCGCGCACTAAATTTTGTTCTACAAATTTAAAAGTGCTGTTGATTTCGAATGTGTGGGTGACCTTCACTTTATTACCCTCACTTTAAGGTTGGTCAAATAAGCGAGACATTTGGCTTTGAGTGGAAGCTTTGAAAGTTTGGCAAGAAACGAGTAGCTATACTTTCTCACTGGAATATGAATTTCTATTCGAAATGAAAGAGTTCGAATATGTGAACGAACTCTTCTTTTGGACTTGCGCCAAGCTAGCGTAAACAACTGCGAACTTTCGCTGTGCCGCGTATCGATCGCTCGGCAATGATTACTCCTGGCGCAGCATTTAAGTGCGGCGAAGTAAGGTCTCCGATGGATTATGGACATTCTAGGAGTCTCACCTCCAAGATGCGATTCTGGCGCAACAAGCGAGCACCTCTGGAGTTCGTGTCGACAATCATGTGATTCCTACTCCAAAGGTATTCCCAGTTGATCCTAAACGTTATGACGAGGTATACCCGGTTCAGCCTCCTCCTCCGAAAAACAGTCTCATCAAAGTACAAGGTAATTTTGAGTCTACTTTTTTATTATTGTTCTTATGTGCTGTTATTTAGCCTGGTTGGCTCTTGACAAAGAAGAAGCTGAGTATGACGTTGATTCCGAGGACGAGCGCTGGCTCGCTGAGAGGCCGCATATTGATCCAAGGGCTTTGGAGCGGATATTTGATACGCTCGAAACGAAATCTTCTGATAACAACATTTGCTTGCCCGATACAGCAAGATCAGCTCTTTTAGGTACTTTTATACTTATTGGATTCACATTTTGTTGGTTTGTCTGTGTTAGGTATTGGTCAAGTTTTTCACTTTTTATACTGATTGCATTTTCACTAGATTTCTAATGTTAAAAACTGCATATTAATTTTTCCTTATGACAAACATTAAAGCGTTCGATGGCGCCATCGTTGATGATGTATACGACTACTGGCTGTCGAAACGAGGACAGAGTTCAGCTGTAAGGTCGCTGCAACTGGGAGTTGGAGGATTAATACCTCGCGTCCGTACAGAATGTAGGAAGGTACGTCGTAATGGAATCGGATACTTTTTGAGATATATGCGCACATTTGAACAGGGGTACTCGGGGAATGTTTTATGTCTATGGACGTTTATATGGTGATCAATAAAAGGGGACAAATCGAGTGAGTAAAAAAAANAAAAAAAAGTTGTAAATTCAGGATCAGCAAGGCGGAGTGAATCCCTACGTCGCATTCAGGAGACGGGCTGAGAAAATGCAGACGCGGAAAAACAGGAAAAATGATGAAGATTCGTACGAGAAGGTGCAGTCAACTTGTTCCTCGTCTTCATTTGCCTTTTCGATATTTTCCTCTACGTCGTTTCAAGACAGCCTTCATTCAGGTGCTCAAACTCGGACATGATCTCCGAAAGACTGTTACCTTGTTCGATATGGTAAAGAGGCGAGAGAAGACTAAGATAGCACTGATTGATCTTGATTCGGAAATACTTGCACATCGTATGGGATTGCTCGATTTTGGATCAAATATTTATAACCAGTTTATTGCCAAGATAAGAGAATCAACTAAACTTTCAACTAGCGGTGTTGCAAATGGTGTTGCGAAGTCTGAGGTTTGTATCTTATTCTGTGCTTCATTATCACATAATCAAATTAGTTTTTTGGGACTCCCATATCTGCTGATCTTATTTCAGGAAGATGTTTTATTGAAGAAAAAAGCGAAGCGGCGGAAGATCAGGACTGTTGCTGCTAGTGTTGATCGCGAAGTTCCCAGCAAGGTAATACGAGTAGGACATTATTATCCAACGGTGATCACCATAATTTCCATCGTTTCGCTCGCATGCAATATAATACGTTTCCAGGCATGGTTGAAAAAGAATGCCGAAGTGTGGAATCGTCCTCCATCGGTTTTCGCACCGACCGGAGTCTCGCCTGTTGCTGAGGTTGACCTGTCAGCGGCTTCTGAAGAGGATAGAGACGGGCCGTTTGTTTTCAAGAGAAGAAGGGGTTGCCTGTATCGAAGCCCACTTCTTACTGGTAATAACAATCCGCCAGCGGACGATCTGCCTTCGAAGGTAGGAGCCTTGAGTCACATTGCGAGGATCAGACTCTTTTGGGACATTCCAAATTCGTTACCTTTTTAGATTCCCAAATCACGGCACTTGTACGAGACGTACCTTCCAAGTTGCGATGGTGTCATTCGTCGAATCGGTCTGACGCGTCGAAGACTGGGAAGGGGAGGACGGGTGTTGTTTGACCGGTTTCAATGTTGGGATACTCCTCGCGTACCTAACCCTTATGATCCTTTCTCCGACGATTTTCTGAGAGATGGTTCAGTGTTAGTAGTTTTCCTATTAAATTGCTTAAAGCTTCTACTTTTGCTATCCGAGATTTGCTCGTGTAGGTCTTTCCGCACTCGTCTTCGTCCTCGGCAGGATCAGAGCGATGTGTGCCCCAAGCGATATCATCATCCCTGGAGCCGCTCTGCCGAAGAGGATTATGAGCGACGATGGTTATCAAGTGGCTGTAATCCACCTACTGCCAAAAGTCCTGCAGAGGATGTTGGCTCAGATAGTAATCACGTGCACATCGCAAGCATATCATCCGAACCTCCCGTTATAACTCAGTCGGGAAACGGATTGGCGGGCAGAGTGGACCCATCGACCCTAATTTCGGCTAAGGTATGTTACCTGCACAGCACGAAAAAGGATCAACCATATACAAGGTTAAAGATGCATTTTTTCAGGAGTATGGAGCTGTACCAGCATCTGATGAGTGGCGAGAGGCAAGTGGGTCGCCATCGGAGTCGAATTCCTCCACGGATTGGGTTACTCCGCCTACGGCTACCCAGATTTACCCCGCTTTATCAAGTGAGGAGGAAGCAAGAACTGGTGATCATCCGATTGCGAAGCAGCCACCCGTTAATGTCAAAGGGTGTGTTGTTACACCTCGAAATCTTGTCGCTGAAACAACGAGCTTTGAATTTCATGTTATGGTGTAACACAGTTTGAAATATGGCAAGAAACTTTGAAATAACAGAACAGATAGAAAAATGCTTACCATTTTGGGTCTAATTAAAACGATGGGATGTTCAGGTCTGTGGTGGGCGCGACCGAGATCGAATACCGTAGTCCATTCCTACTGGCGCCTCCTACGGTTGGCAGCTAGGTCTCTGCTCTGCCCGAGCTTCATGTACAGCTACTTTCTCAGTCTTGTAAATGATCTTCGCTTTCCCTCATTCAGTGTGTTACGAGGTCTCTGTTGTTTTAGATATATGATAATATTCAATTTTTTTCTATTCGCGATGCCGTTTTAATGTTCTATATCGTTCCGTTTTTACCGCTCTACGTCGACTGGTATCCGAAAATCGTGTTGTTGGATTTAGAAATTGTTCTATCGACTTCTTCCACATGTCTGTGATGAAACACACTAAAAACGAATAAAAATTAATAAAACTCCTTGTGCTGACGGAATCCGATAGAATTTTATCCGTAGCTATCACATATATCGCTCGGTACGTCACGCACCATGCAAAACGATTCGTGGCCCCACCTGTACATGATCTGAATTCTGAAGGCTACGTTTCGCTTCTCTGTGCTATTATGTATCATTTCAAAACCGAATCTAGACTATTTGGTAAAGACATGGGTGAGGCAATAGGCGGCGGTGCGATAGACGGTCCTGGAGTCGGTCCTTGTGGTACCACAGGAAGATGAGGAGCTGTGCTTGCTGACTCGGACTCGTTTTCCAGGAATCGAATGAACTGCTCAGCCAGCGAAACACTCCCAGTCTGGTTTCCCTGGCGTTGAGGGCTTCTGCCGCTGATCGCTTGCCGAATCTTAAAGGAAAAGAGATCGCAACGATAGTAGTAATGGGGTCAAACGGCCAGAAAGTGGTAGCTCAACAACCAAAGAATGATAAGCTTCTCTGTACTGCCATTCTTACAAATGAAGTGTCAGGTCTTTCGACAGAATTACGGGTGGCACCTATGTTGTGTACTAGAGACAGATTGTTCAAAAGAAGACAAATATGCAAATAGGCAATAGGTAAGCATGCACAGAGCTGGTTTCCGCTTGTGCACCCAGTCTAGCCCAACGAATGGTGCGAACACCAAGAATTCAAGAGAGAACAGACGGCCCGCTAACATAAGCAGAACCAGTGTATTAAGCACTGTCCGACTTTGCTTAAACCAACAACCTTCCAATCAACCTTCGATTGGTACCAAAAGTATGCACATAGTTATAAGTAGGATAGTTTTCCAGCATCGTTGTAGATGAATTTTGCAGATGCTACTGCGATTTTTGAAGGGAACAGAATTCGTGGGGAGAATTGAACAATACAACAGCTTTTACATTAGTCAATTACCATAACACTCAGCGAGATTAACTAGAATGCCGTTTTCGTCATCTAATGGTAAACTTTTTGAACGGTGTTTGCTAAACAGAGTGATTAAGAATCAACATAGTTGAGACTGTTTTGAACTTCTATAAATCAATGTTGATGTAAAGGTGAACTCAAATGTACCAATGCTAAGCAATCGTCACCATATTTACATTACTGTGGCAACAAAAACGAAAATTGTCTAAGCATAAGGGTCACGGCGACATCGGGTAACGTCCGATTCTATCGTCGATGAGACTAGGTCACGCCGCACACGTCGCGCGCGGCCCAGCCTACTGCGATTTTGAGAAGGACACGTTTGGCCAATGCAAGGAGTTTGTGATTTCGATAATTTTACCGTATTTGAGCAAATTAGCGCGCCATCGAGAGATAAATGGGATCTGCTAATAGAGGAAACAAAGTGAAGTAGAATAAGGCGTGTCGAGTTTTTCTTTCCATGATGAAAACAGAGGAATCAGAAAATGAGGTAGTAAGGAGGTGAGCTGAAGAGGATTTTCTATAAGAAACATGCAGAACTGCTGTAGCATGGATGTTGGATTCTGATATCTGCGCGCAATAGACTTATTCAAACCGAAAAACCCTTGCAGGACCAAACGTCCCACCTCGAAATCGCAGTGAGCTGCGCCGTGCGCGACGTGACTGGGTTTCATCGACGGTGGGAACGAAACACACTGGGTGGAGGCGGTGTAGTGGCAAGTGGGTACACTTCACACACGGTCACGTGTTCGAATACCGGATCGATATCCGCTTAGACCAACCAAGCCTCCTATCCCTCCGGGGTTGCTTAATTGGTACCAGACTCGTCTAAGAGAAAAAAGCACTGACGTGTACATCCGCTGGCCACCGTAAGTCGTAGGATAGGCTTCATACGCATTCATCACGCCACTACGATTCTGAATGGAAGTCGAATGCGTGGCCACATCCCTCAGACGGGATTGATTCACGCTTCAAGACTTTATCCTTTACCTTGGCGGCTATATCCACTAGCAAATAAGAGGAAGACACTAATAAAAAGGAAAATGGCATGAAGAAGGAATCATCCTGTTTGCAGAGGTCTACCTAATATCGGGGAGCAATATTCTGAGCTAGTTTTTAATCGACACAACATCATCCAAGGTCGCCGCGCAACGCAGTGGATCAGGCGACCGATAATTTGACACGGAAGCGACTTAAAATTGACGTTGTGTAGACAATGCGACATCATCAGCTCCTAATTCGATTTTGAAAGGCAGCGAACACAAAGATCAGCTCTTCCACAAAAACTCGGAGTGGAAGCCCTTGAAGCGACATGTCGACGCTAGATGCTCCTCATGACTAATCCATGCGTCTCAAGACGAAGGAAGGAAAATGAAGAAGAGCCAGGAATCCCCAAAAAACGGTATCCGCGGACGGCAATCTCAAAAATGATTTTTCCTTTGACGATGTCCTGCCAACAAGGACCAGCTCATCATGCGACAGTCTCCATTCTCAATATATAACTCAAGTTTTCCCTATAACGCTATAGTGACGGTAACGCTTTCACCGTCTGTCTCTGGCACAAAACTTGGTATGTTCTGGGTTCACTTTTCCGAGAAATGACAATAAGACTGGGACGGCTCGATACCCTGCTTTGTACTATATAATGCCATAAGTAAGCTTGTATGTGGGTGTGCATGGGGTTGTGACAGGAAACGTTAACAACTAATAGCTACTAGGATAGTCGCGCCTTTCGCATCAACGCTGAGGGCTTGTCACTTCGGCACAAGATGAGCGTTATGAAGGAGCTGTAGAAGATTGGTGATCGAATTGATAACAAGTGATAAGGAGTAACAAGGGGCCATAGAAGACAAAGGCTACAGGTCTATACGAAGTTAATAGTGAAATCTTTCAAACTGGTGGATGACGTGGGGTAAGACCGGATCGTAACTGGCCGGCAAAACGTAACAATCTCAGTGATGGAGGCTGATTAGAATGAGAGTCACTTGAAGAGAACAATTCTTCAATCGAGCACTCCAAATTTGTCGTTTAAAAGAGAGAAACCCGGCCAGAGGATTCGATTATAGAAAAATAATCAGGAAACCATGTGTTGATGCTAATCAATCACTAGACCGATGTGTACTATAATGAACACTCAAGATTAACCATCACCCCAGTTGATCGATGGGGTAAAAGGCTTAAATTCGGGTAAAGTTGTCTAGAGGTGGGAGCAAGTTAGTCTATTACTCCGCAGATTTTTTCTCAAGGACAAAATCATAAGAAAAAAGGCTGACCTTATGTACATCTTCGGGTGGATACTGGAGAATACTTGCCAGCAGAAGAGCGATATCCGCCCGTTTATCTGGAGCTGCGGTGAAATAACTTAGGAAAAGCTGTCGCAAGGTCACGTCATCGATGCGGTAACTTTCAGCCGACTGTCGCGATGAAGCCCTGAGCTCTTCTAGTTGGACCTCGAGGTCCTCTGCAAATGTTTTTTTAGTGAACGTACACGAAATGACATGTCCGGAAACCGATTAACATACCGACAATCTTCTGCCGAGCGTTAAGCGAGCTCTTAGCCGATTCCAGCAGATCCTCAACTGTCTGCTTATCAAGGGATAGTCGCTCCATTTCAGCACGAAGGTTTTCAACTGTCGCCGTCAGCTCCTGCATAAAAGGATAATTTCCGAGGTCAATTGTGAAACCTCACTCATTTGATAAGGTCTTAACGGGTTTGGAATTTGTCGAGAACCCTAGGTTCTCTTGCAAATGGTGGATTTTCCTCCCTAGCCACATAGCAGTAAGGCAGAAGCAGCCGAGCACGTAGGATTGTAGATCCATGTTAAAATAAAGGCAAAGAATGCATGGACGTGCTGAATGAGAAGTTCGATGGTCGTAAAAGGGAGGAGTTCGTTTTCCGGCTGGTCGAAGATCGGCATTGGGTTACTTAAGACGTCAGGCCACGAAGACCATGGGGAACAGTGACAATGCCACTTGAAAAAGCCAGCTAAGGTCAAGGAACAGGTAGAAAACAATTAGGCTCTGAACGAAAAATTTCATGTGAAGGCAGCCACCAAATAGGGCAATGGTAGGCCCCTTTGCTTTAGACAGCCAAGTATCTGGAGGCGGCTGGCTGCTTATAGGCTGCAGACTGCGAAGGAAAGGGGAAGCGTTGAATATCCCAAGAGGGGTTCATCTCTAAAAATGAAGTCCCCCCTAACAAAGAAAGCCTGATATAGTGAATTATGATAGCAGCGGTGCTGTTCCTTCAATGCGATGTTGCGGCATTATTCATGCATAAGTTGCGCTCATAGCTGTTCTCGTGAAATTGAAATCGTGATGGGAGTCAAAGAAAAAAACTGGCTACCGCAGAAAAGTTTCGAGATGTTAAGCTCGATCGCAAGTTAAGTCTTTGCATGAAGAAATAGTAAAAAAATAAATTTTTCAAAAATAAACATTTCAGAAAAAGAGAAAGTCAAATAAGTAGTATGGAATCCTACTCGGATATTTTCTTGTAGCTGCATATTCCTATGGGAAGCACTGGCAGCCTCCCGTTCGTGGTCAGCCGACAGTTCGCGTACTACTTCCTAAATACAACGGATTATGTAAAAGCAGCAAAGGTAACAATTTTGAAACTCAAGGGCTCACAAAAACACCCTCAAGGATCACTGATCAATACTGTTGTATTCATAACAGAATAGATCAAAATTATGTGAACCATGAGCTTTCCTATCATAATGTTTCAGAGCGCGTAAAATATTAGGCCGCATTATTAAAAAAAGAGCTGGGTTCAAAGGAAGACGGTAAACGAAAAAGGCTGCGCTATCGACACTATTTTGGTCATAACCTAGTACAATTAACTATGCATATCCATAACTGCAGAAGTGAATGCTTAGAAGCTGAAGGAAAGTCTTGGCGACCAGGATCAGCGCCGAATTCCCTGACGGGTCATAATATAACGAGAATCTGCTCAAATTTGCCAAGTGAAAGGTCTTTTGTAAGGTACGGCGTTCTCTAGGAATAACGCGATGAGTTGCTGCGAAGGTTCAATGAAGGAGGAACGGACATAAGCGAAGGTCGAGGTGTGTCCTACTATGCTCACTCTAAAAAGAAGAGCCTGTAGAAGTAAGGAAGCATCATGTTCAAGCAACCTCGGGGAGAGCTCATGAATATGGCAACCGAGTTTGAATGAGGCTAGTGCTACAATGAAAGGAACGCATAGGTGAAATGTCGACTTGTGCAATCGTTGAATGCCAACTTGGAAACTCAAAAATGCGACTCAAGACAATGAAGTATTTCAAAAAATCAAATCAAAATGGATTAAAAGCAAATTCAAGAAATATCGAGAAGTAAAAGTGAGAATTAAAGTTTCGTAACCTGCAAGCTTGCCAGAGCATCGTTTGTTTCGAAATGTTGACGTTTTTCGTCTTCATATCGCGATCTCCAGTCTACAGCCGACTCTTCCGCAACAACAACCCGCTCTTGTAATGAAGACAACTCGCTCTGTAAAATTTTGAATTCAATGAGAATATCATATGAGTAAAGCATATTAAGTAGCTGCAAAACCTACAAAATCTGTTCGAGAGGATTACTTTATGCTACTCAACAAGTAGAAACCATTTTAAAAAAAGATTTAAGAGAAGCAGTCTACTAATCACTTCGGCTAAAAGCATAACACCAGCTTACCATGGGAAAAGTAGGAGATAAAGCACTCGTTCAAAAGACTCATTGACAACATGATAATTCCGGTTCCTCGCGAATACTCACTTAATGTTGCTTACGTGCTCCTTATTATCATTATCATCTCACCAAAAGACTAGCTACCCGGTACGGCTAGCTAGTGTTTTGGCTAGCTATCGGCTGGTCCATCCTATCACGATTATTATTATTATTATTATTATTATTATTATTATTATTATTATTATTATTATTATTATTATTAT